CTCACAGCTATCATGCAGTCTATGGCCAGAAAGAATGAATGGCCACTTGACAAGATGTGTCTTTCAGTAGAAGTGACCAAGAAAAACCGAGAGGATATGACGGCTCCACCCCGAGAAGGCTCCTATGTGCATGGGTTGTTCATGGAAGGTACAGGACCAGGCTCAATCCTGAACAATTAGCCCAGCAAATGCTATGCAATCTGGATTTGTACAGTTTTTGCTCCTCAGAACCACTTTTGAACATTGAATGTTAATCTCCAGCACTCTGCTACCATGTACTAATTTTCTTCACATCTCAGCCTTTGCTGTCCTGCCCTACAGTAAGTGATCCAGGCCCTTCCCCCTTGCTCCTGAATTGGCTTGGTTTGAGGCAGCAGTTTCAGTCTGATGAAGCAGTTTCTAGCAGGGTTTATACTGTGCTCTGTCCCTGTACTTTTCTGCTGCGATAATAATTACACCCCACCTATGATCTTTACTCAAGAGCTTCTACTTCACCTGACAATGTGCTATCTCAGTGCTGCAGAATGACATGATTTTTCCTGTAGCTTAATGCCCAGTGTGTCCTGGCTAAACTTTAAGGTAAACAGGTTTCAGAGTAGCAGCCGTGTTAGTCTGTATCCGCAAAAAGAAAAGGAGGACTTGTGGCACCTTAGAGACTAACACATTTATTTGAGCATAAGCTTTCGTGAGCTATCTCCCCCCTGTATGCATCTAATGAAGTGAGCTGTAGCTCACGAAAGCTTACGCTCAAATAAATTTGTTAGTCTCTAAGGTGCCAAAAGTCCTCCTCTTCTTTTTACAGATAGATAGTTACCTGCTTATGCACTCATTACTGTACTAAGTAGCAATTAGTCTTCCCTGAGCAGTAGTCAAGGAATAACTGATGCTTGCCACCACAGCAGGAGCATAGTGTGAACTATAGTCAGCTCATTTATATTGCAATAAACAGCATCCATTAACAGAGCAGCCAGGTTCAGTTTGGGTAGCAGCTGCCTTTATTGTGCATCATTGTCAGAAACATGCCAGCAGAGGGCAGCCCTCATTAACAGACAAACAGTGACCGTAAGTATTTATTTATTTTGGAAATTAATACAGCAACACTTGAACCTCAGAGCAGGACAGTTGATGTTACTTGGGTCACAGTTACATTATTTATATATGACTGGACCCAGGAAGTCTAGGTGAGAATGTCTCAGCTTTAGTTTGAGGTCCCTTACAGCTAATAAACACAGAGGGATGAGGCCAGTGGCAGGATCACTGTACTGTCAAGCTTAGGTCCATGCCCAGCAGACTACATGGGAGAGTTTCCATATTTATCATTCTTCCCCAAGCTGTGCAGTCCCCCCTAACACGGACACTAGAGTGGGGGAGTAAGGACAGACTTGACCATTGTGGTTAGAGATCTTATCCCTAGTAATATTGTTAGTCACTCTGAAATGCCAATTACATGCCTGGGGGGACTAAGCCCAGGCTACTTCAATACTGCCCTTTGGTCCTCCAGCTGACCCTTAACCATGCTTCTAGGACAACTCTTCCCCCACCCCACCCCGCAGATACAACAAATAGAACACCTTCTGACTGAGCCATAACATTGCAGGTGCTCGGTGGGACATTCCTAGTGGTGTCATCACAGATGCTCGGCTGAAGGAGTTAACGCCCTCAATGCCAGTCATCTTCATCAGAGCCATCCCTGTGGACCGTATGGACACCAAGAACATCTACGAGTGCCCTGTCTACAAGACACGCATGCGAGGCCCCACCTATGTCTGGACCTTCAATCTGAAGACAAAGGAGAAGTCAGCTAAGTGGATTCTTGCTGCTGTTGCTTTGCTCTTACAGGCTTAAACTTTTACAGCCTAAACAAAGCACTTGTTCCACATGCCAAAGTAGTACCCAGCTCAACACTAATCCCATTAGTCAGAAACACCACCCAACTTTTTGTCTGCCCCGAAGTATTTTAACAAAGTGACAATAAAAAGACAGGTTTCAGAGTAGTGGCCGTGTTAGTCTGTATTCGCAAAAAGAAAAGGCACCTTAGAGACTAACCAATTTATTTGAGCATAAGCTTTCGTGAGCTACAGCCCACTTCATCGGATGCACGCAGTGGAAAGACAGTAAAGCATGAGATGATGCTGTTAGTGCCTGGGTGGATAAAACAACTGGCCAACTGTGGATTGGTGTCACGATACACATCAGAGCATGCCAGTATGGGGTTACAATAAAGCACTAAGGGCTTGTCTACACTGGCAAGTTTTGTCCCCAAAATCTGCCTTTTGGCGACAAAACAGCAAGAGCATACACACTACAATTGGCCTTTTGTCACAAAAAACTTCCACCCCTATGAGAGACTTTTGTCTTTTCCCCCTCCCTTTATTGTCGACAAAGAGCCAGCGTAGACACTGGTGATTGTTTTGTCGACTGAACTGGCTTCTGCCAGTATCCCACAATGCCCGCCCTGATCGCTCTGTTGCCCTGCAGGCATGTGCCCCTCCCCTTTCAAAGCTCCGGGAAGTATCTGTGCGTTGCTTCCTTTGGGGAACAAACGGAGAGCAAATCATCAGAATGCTCCTGTTCTACCCTGCACTAGGGACACAGCAGCAGGCAGACTGCTGTGCGGCTTTGCCATTCCTCAGCACAGAGAGCTCACAGAGTTACTCATGATGCTACTCTTGGCTGCGGGAGCGCTCAGCTCTTCCTTCCCACAACACTGCACTGTGGGATACATACCCACAGTGCATTGCTCACCCTGTCAATGATGATTGTGTCCCACATGTGGGACATGATCTGTCGACAGAGGGAGCAAGTGTGAACACCCTTTGGCGATTTTTGTTGTGTCAACGTAAGTTTTATCAACAAAACTTGGTAGTGTAGACACGCCCTACATGCCAGCACCGAAAAGAAGGAAGCCAAAGTAAAGGCCTTGTCTACACTGCCACTTTACAGCACTGAAACTTTCTCACTCATGGGGTGTGAAAAAACATGCCCCTGAGCACTGTAAAGTGGCAGTGTAGACAGTGCCCCAGCACGGGGAGCTACGCCTCTCGTGGAGGGTGTTTTTTACAGTGCTCCCAGCACTGGTGCCGTGACTACACAGCCCCGTTAAAGCGTGGCCATCTGGATTCCTCAGAACTCAGTGCCTGTTCAGGTCTCTGTTTTGCATGAGTGCTCCCCTGTGGGCAGGGCCCTACTGGGCCATGAGCTGTAGTTCCAGTCCCTTCCCCAAAGAGCTTCTAAAGTAAATAGACCAGACAAAAGGGGAAGGAGAAACAGAGACAGGAAGAGAGCCCAGATACGGTCACTGTCCAGTGCCTTAGCTACTGCTCTACACAGCCTCCGCGCTATCCTGTACTTCCCAACAGTGGAAAGGTGCACACAGGTCACCCTGATCAACTGTTAAGCATCTGCTATTAAGCCTTCCAGCACCTGCACCAAAGGGCTGCATAAAGAATACACTCTGGCCATGCTCCCTGTTTACTACCCATTTTGCTAGCTGGGTGGGAAGTCAGTCAGGAAGCACATGTCCTTCTGTTTCTAGGATGTGATGGCTATCTGTCCCTGTGCTCCCAGAAGTGAAGTTGTGTCAGACAAGACCACACACTACAGCCTCCCTTTGAAATACAGCCAGAGTTGTTTTTAGACAAGACTCGTAAGAAATGACACAGAAGAAAGGTGACAAATGGTGCTCTTCAAAGCACTAGGAGTGGCAAGCGGTTTGTATTCTCAGGCCAGTCACCAGTGGATAGGAGGCCCCTAATTGCTGGTACTGTCTGCAGGGACTATAAAAGCTAACTCCCCTTTTACCCCTGAGGGAACCACTGTGGCAGAAGCAGAAGCAAGCTCCCATAGTGTAGCTGTTTGGAGCATATAGGATTTTGGTTTGCCTTCATGCCACTGCCATTGCCTCCAGAACCCTACTGCAACTGTTACTAGCCTGGCCAGGCAGCCAGGGAACCTCTGCTCAGCACTGACAGTTAGGGGCTGACCACCCAGAAGAACCCAACTGCTCTCTCCCTTTCGTATGGAGTAGTTTCCTATTTCACATCTGCTAGCAGCGCTCAGCTGCCTGAAGACAAAATGATAAAACCCCAGCGCTTTAATATCTTCTATTTCAAGTATCAACACTGACTTTAGCCAAGAGAGGAGAGCTGTGAAGGAATGCTTATGGCAATAGGCAACTGCCAGGCTGCTTGTGGTCCAGGGCTGACCTGGCCATTTATGAGGCCTTAGTAGTGCTGGTTCTTTAATCCCTGGATACAGAGGAAGTTTAGAACCAGTTACCCTGATGTGGCAGGCACTTACCCACAGCAACCAGAACCTGAGAGTTGAGTGAAGGTAAAGGACCAGAAAACACATGCACATGCTCCAACACTAAGGCTCTTGGGAATGAAAATTGGTGAAAGTTAAAGTCTGAGTTGGCATTTTCACCAAGTCTAGGGGATTAACTGGGGCGAGTCCAATGCCACAGGAGGAAAGACAGCAAATGACCTTGTGTCAGCCAACATTCATGTGATAAAGGCATTTTAGAGGAGACCTCAACCTTACAAAGCAAAAGCCAGAGGTTATGCTGACTTCAATCCCAACTCAGGCAGGAGATCATAGAGCAGCTGAGATTTTCCCACAATGTCTCCCATTGGCTGGCCAGGGTAAAATCTAGGCCTGACCCTAGGCTGAGTCCCCACTGCAAGAGATGCATTTCAGAAGAGAAAGTCTTATCAATGCATGGGGATAACTTGGACTCCTCCCTCCCCGTTCCTGAAAAGGAACCTTAGTTACTGCTAGACTACAACATGCATTGGAGACATAACCCACTCAAATGGAAATTGAATATAGGCCCTCAGGAAAGAGCTTCACACTGCACTGAAAACCTTCCCCATGCAAGGGAAGCATTGGGCTGATTCTTCCTCCTTATAAAGGACAGGGCTGCATTAATAAGTGCAATCAACTCAGTATTGTTTCCTGCAGCTTTAGTTCTTCCTGGAGCAAAACAACTTCAGACTCACCCAGAGGAGGATCCTTTCTCCTTTCAAAAGAAGTTCTTAATCAGAGGCGTTACCAGCTTCACCCACAGCTTTACGTAGCGGGTTGGCTGTTCAAATGTAGACAACGACACGACACCTGACTTGAGATAAAGCTGCTCCTGCTCCTACAAGACAAAATCCCGAAAGCCAGTTTCAGCATCGCTCCCTCACATCATCCACCACCCTAGCCAAATTTGGTGCATCTACAGTCACAGCTTTTGCCTGGCCAGAGGGGCATGTCACCCTTCTCTCACAGGTCTGAACACACATCAGGGACAAAGAACCCAGCCTGCTCCTCCATGTGATGTAAATTGTAGACAAGTAGCCCAGCCACTGAGCTGTAAGCACGGGGAATGTCACATGGCACCTGTCCCTGAGGTGTGCCTGTTGCAGCAGCATTCTGAGGCTTGACAGCTGCATTCTGAAGAGCCACATTCACATCTTATTCTGGAGAAATGTTCTCAGAACCCGAACATTTGAACTCAACAAAGGGCCCAAGGTGGGTGGCTTTGTGGGATCAGGCCGTACAGCTATTCCTAATTACTTAACTAAACTACAGTTATAGGAATAACACAAGTCAAACCCCTAGCTGTAATTGCCTGAAAAGGAAACCTGACGTTAATCTCAAGAGACTGGTTTGCAGAACTCATCCTAGACACAGCTCCAGTGTTGTGTTTTCAAATGAATATGCAGTCATGATTTCAATTAAATTACCAGAAATGCGTAAGTGCCTTTAAAGTATAAACAATACGACTGGAAGAGGAAGTGAACCATCTCTGTTACAATAGACATTTCACATAGCACATGAAAAGCAGTGGTTTGATCAAAGGCAGAAGTGGCTCTTTCTGCAAAACTAGCAAGGTTTCTGGTTTTACTCTACTTGCAAACAAGAACCAGGACGTTTGTCAGATGTAGCAAAATACCTCAATTTCTACTCCACAGATTACAGAAATCTTTCCCTGTGATGGAGCCCGTAAGCACTCTGAATTTTGACACATCAGGAAAGGAACCACAAATTATGGGAAATAAACACAAAGGGCTGAACGTAAAAGATTCCGGCAGTAATGAGCCTGTTTTTAGAAACGAAGAGTGTTGCAAATCCCACTAAAAACCCTCCGTTAGAGGCAAGGTGCCAATCACTTAATACCAATAGTCTAGTTTCAGTTCAGTTATTTGTACTGAGACTCAAAACTTGTAACAAAATATTATTTACTTTGGTTCACTCACTGCAGCAGCCAGAGTTTTTGCCTGGAGCTGGAGTGGAGCCAGAGCACAGCTCCAAAGCCCTGATTACAATACAGGTGTTGAGTGGTTATTAAAATGTATCACCAATTTCCTTCAGACTAGAGTAATCTGCACTGGAAGCATGTCAAACCATACAATTTATAGGACTGCGGTAATGAAAGGACTGGGTAGTTGTACTGAGTTCCACAGCAGCCCCCATCCTACTGGTACCCGAAGGTCAGTCATTTGAGGAGTGTACATTTTTCAGGCATTTTCATCACCAGCCCCTGTACTAACAGGAGAATATTTGTCTAATTTGTTATTTGACAATCAGCAGCAAAGGAAACAAACTAAAAGTGACAAAGGTTCCAAATAAAAACAGAACGAAGCCTGCTGCTTTTCCCCCATTGCAGGGGTGTCAGAACCGGGAGCGATCCCATGCTGCAGGAGAGTAAAAAAGGCAGGTCAGGACCGGCACAGCCACTTGTAGGGAAGAGAAGGGACTCAGACACCCCATCAAAATCTGTAATATAGTACTATGCAGCCCCAGGGATTGTGCTTTTTCTGTTAGCCCTACGTACAGACAGGACTACAAGATCTTAGTTACCGTATGTGAGACACATGATTTATCTCCCATAATGCAATTAACTGGGCCTCCCCACATCACACCAGGGCAGATGATAGAGAAATGATTCACACTGGACAGGAGTTTCACAAATGAAGAACAGTATGGGCCAGATCACAATATTTGTTTCTCTTAAAGCTGCACCTTGGAATTGGCAAAATCACAGCTTTAGTTTAACAAAAATAAAGCTTCTACCCTCTTGGTTGTGAAGAAAAGCATGAAAACATGAACCTTAAAGGCTCAAAGAAGAGAAGGCAAAGATATTTTAAATACAGTTTAGGTTCTCATGTTTTTTTAATGCTGGGGTTCACAATACTGGAAGGACCAAACCCCTCAATTGTTCATAGATCTGGAAATGAAGTCTTCATTGAGAGCTTTGCATATAGTTCACAAAACAGCACAATGTCTACAACACTTATTCCAACCAACCAGTACAATGGAAGGAGGAAGTGAGAGACTGATTCCTTAGAGGCTCTGTTAGATTTCATCTCGGCACAGTACGGTCTCCACACAAAGATCACAAACAGCAGTGAAACAGGTGGTCAAATTCCAGGTCATTTCTAGTATAGTGGGGATATTCAGCCATATGCACTTAGCTAAAATGCTTTGTTGGGTCACTGCAGTCATCACTCACAGCTTTACACAATCCCTTCATTACAAAAATATTTCCATGGATTTTTCTCATTACAGATAAAAACAAATAGAGGCCAAATAAAGTGAAACATTCATGTGACTCTTCCAGTAAGACACAGAGAACCCTGCTGGATTAGATATGAGGCTGACTCAGTGGGCCAAATTCAGCTCTGGGGTAAGAGATGCAATTCCCATCAATTTTTATGGAGGCTGAGCCTTCTTATGCCAGGCCTGAGTTTTATCCAGTATGAGTTTTGCAAAGCTTCAAATGAAACATATGCACTGATCCAATTTGCTTCACTGCTGAACACTTTGGTATCACAGGAATTACTCAGGGTGATGCCAATTCCAGGACTAGATTGAAAAGCAGGACAGTTGGAGAAAACAATTTAATAGAGAAGACAAGAAGATACCAAACAACCCAAGCTGCCCACCCCTTTACAGCCACTATGACAAGGGGAGACTATACGCTAAGCTGGAACACTGATCTTTAAACCACTGAAAAAGAGCATACGGTCAGGATTAAAAACAGGACCACACTTCTTCCTGGGAGGAGGACAGAAATTCTCTTACTGTTAAGGAGATGCTGAGTGCAGATCCCCTTCCCTTCTCCCACCCCCAAATCCTGTGAAAAAGGAAGTCATCAGAAGGCAGCCAGGGTGGGGTTTATATAAATATTTACATGGGGTTAGACACACTTTTGGTTGCAAGTAGATTGATAAAAGCAATTAAGATCCAAAGCACTTTACAGGTGAAAGGTCAGCAACTCAGGGAACCTGAATTCCATTTCTGCAAGCTCAGATGCCCAAACCATGGAGGAAAGGCATGAATGTGCAGCGTATATATATGAGAATAAGGAGCTTTACTCTGAATGGCTCATCTATGTTTGGTTAGCCTCCAGGGCCCAATTCAGCTGTCCACTCTCATTATGGCCTCTAGTTCCCAGAAGTGGGCACTTGTAGCCAACAGCTCACCAATAGACACTTAATTGACAGTTCCTCAAGTTCTCCTATGCTAGAGAAGGTTTGAAATTATAGTAGTTAAAGATTTTAACGCAATCACCTCACCAACACTCCCCCACCCTATGAAACCTCCTCACATTTGCCACCAACCTGATGGAGCTGCTGCTGCAGGTCACGATTTTCTGTCACTATTGCAACCTGAGCTTCCAGGTCCCGATGAACCGACCTGTACCCAAAATTAGGAGAGCCAATCAGAGTCAGGCAGGGCAGACTGCTTCCTGCCAGGTACAGCCAGAGGCCTGCAGGAAAAGAGTAGGAAAGGAAATATGGCAGACAAAAGAAGTGACCATGGTAGCCTCCAACACTTGCTCTTATTTAATGTTTTTCATTTATTTTGAAATGCTTTATTAGATTTACAGGAATGGCAAGTGGTAATGACACAAAGCAAGCTCTCAGGAAACAGAGATGCTTCCTTATAAAAACAGCTTAGCATGCCTTGTGGAGCCCGGCACAGCCCTGTAGAGCCCTCTGCTACACCTGGTTCTGGCTCTCTACACTTGTGACTTTGTGTGCTCTGAGGGACAAAGTGGCTTTGGCACCCTGGGGTGGAGCTCATCAGTGACACTCCCAAGGGTAACCACTGTCATTTTTAAAGCCTAATGAACTGTACACAGCAGCTCTAACAGTGAAGACTCCAAACATAACCCCAAATGGCTAGTATCCAGTAAAGAAAGGCCACACAGGAAATACCTTGGAGAAATGTGTCTGCAGCATTCTCCTCAGTGACTGGAAAGAGAGTTCTTGATCCCCTGGGCCCTGGAGATCTGCACAGCAATCCTGACTCAGTTTCCATTTCCCCCCCACAACACCGACAAATATTCTGGAAACATGGCTATTTCAATGCTCCCCTAGAGAGACCACATCTGCACAGCAACATGCAACCCCCAAGTCTGTCCATCAACAAAACAGTCATCCTTAATGCTGCCCCTCCCACCTTCTAACAGATCTGCCCTCTTGAAACAGAGGACTATGCAGCATTGCACGAATGCTGTGATATTCTGCGCTCTGGGCTGTTCCTCCCTGCGTGGAGCCACAGGCCCACTCCACTGGCAGCAACAGGACTAAGTGCCATTCTGGACCTCACCCCTGTGTTATTTTTACATCTCAGTTTCTCCTTACTACAGGTGGGAGTGAGCAGCTCCCTTATCACATCTCTCAATTGCAGATAGCTTGTGAGTGCAAGGGAAACTGGCTCAGTGCACTACTATCTAAAGGTAACATTGTGCACTATGGTAACCAGCTCACTGGTGTCAGATGTTATGAAAGGGTTTGAACAACATTCCTCCAATTTCTCTAAGTCTTTGTGTTTCTTTAAGTAACCAGCAGGCACCCTGGCAAAGAATACCCTCATCTTTAGCAAGAACACTTTTACCTCTCAGACTTTTCCCTGGGTGTTGTGGTTGGGAAGTTCTGTAACTTTTTCATTTGAGTTCTCCACAAACTTTGAATGGAATCGGTGCGCGTGTGCAGAAAGCCTTGCCTTTTCTCTGCAGCTTATAATGGCTTTCAGACCTTCTCCACCCAGCAAGGAAAAAACCATACCATAGCGGGGCACAAGCTCAATTCCCCCCTCGGAGGTTACCTCTAAAAACCTCTTGGACTGAGAGCTGGTAAGTTACATTACCCAGTCCTGAGGGCAGAGTCTGCAAGAGATGGCATCATGAAGACTGAACAATGGCATTGGCTGGCTCTGTCCAGTGAATTCCAACAAGATTGTTACCAAAAGGGCAGATACAAATGATCATACCCACTCGTTCCCTTGATCACCACCAGAGGGTAAATTCAAACTGCTCCTATTTATAGCACAGCACAATCCAATTTCCTGGGACTCCCAGCTCCCAAACAAAGATACTGGAGAGCTCCTCTTCATTCTTCCAACTCTAGTCACAAGAGAAACATACCCTAAAGCCCCAGGGAAACCCACCCCCTGCCAGATATAAATGGAATTAGGGTCTGGTGTCATGCAACCAGGAAAGCAGTTCACAAGCCCAGGACTGGTAGCTGAAGTGCCCCGAGAGAGTCTCGGGCACATCACAGCATTTGTAAGATGGAGGGCGGAAGAACACCCAGAGGTGCTAGTAAGCTATGGCTGAAGGAAGCCTGAAAGGCCACTTGCTGGACAGAAGCTGAATTAAGGGAGTTGCATGTGCCCGCTTAGCCCTGGTCTACACTAGGACTTTAGATCGAATTTAGCAGCGTTAAATCGATTTAAACCTGCACCCGTCCACACAATGAAGCCCTTTATTTCGACTTAAAGGGCTCTTAAAATCGATTTCCTTACTCCACCCCTGACAAGTGGATTAGCGCTTAAATCGACGTTGCCGGCTCGAATTTGGGGTACTGTGGACACAATTCGATGGTATTGGCCTCCGGGAGCTATCCCAGAGTGCTCCATTCTGACCGCTCTGGACAGCGCTCTCAACTCAGATGCACTGGCCAGGTAGACAGGAAAAGAACCGCGAACTTTTGAATCTCATTTCCTGTTTGGCCAGCGTGGCAAGCTGCAGGTGACCATGCAGAGCTCATCAGCAGAGGTGACCATGATGGAGTCCCAGAATCGCAAAGAGCTCCAGCATGGACTGAACGGGAGGTACGGGATCTGATCGCTGTTTGGGGAGAGGAATCCGTGCTATCAGAACTCCGTTCCAGTTTTCGAAATGCCAAAACCTTTCTGAAAATCTCCCAGGGCATGAAGGACAGAGGCCATAACAGGGACCCGAAGCAGTGCCGCGTGAAACTGAAGGAGCTGAGGCAAGCCTACCAGAAAACCAGAGAGGCGAACGGCCGCTCTGGGTCAGAGCCCCAAACATGCCGCTTCTATGATGAGCTGCATGCCATTTTAGGGGGTTCAGCCACCACTACCCCAGCAGTGTTGTTTGACTCCTTCAATGGAGATGGAGGCAATACAGAAGTAGGTTTTGGGGACGAAGAAGATGATGAGGAGGAGGTTGTAGATAGCTCACAGCAAGCAAGCGGAGAAACCGGTTTTCCCGACAGCCAGGAACTGTTTCTCACCCTAGACCTGGAGCCAGTACCCCCGAACCCACCCAAGGCTGCCTCCTGGACTCAGCAGGCGGAGAAGGGACCTCTGGTGAGTGTACCTTTTAAAATGCTATACATGGTTTAAAAGCAAGCATGTGAAAGGATTACTTTGCCCTGGCATTTGCGGTTCTGCCTTTGCAAAAGGTTTCTGGGGAGGGCAGCCTTATTTCGTCCTTCATGGTAGGACACTTTACCACTCCAGGCCAGCAACACGTACTGGGGAATCACTGTAGAACAAAGCATTGCAGTGTATGTTTGCTGGCATTCAACCAAAATCCGTTCACGCGGTGGGAGGAGGCAAATGCGACCTTGTAACGAAAGCACATGTGCTATGTATGTAATGTTAACTTTCAAGGTTTACCCTGAAAGAGTGTAGCCACTGTTTTATAAAATGTGTCTTTTTAAATACCGCTGTCCCTTTTTTTTCTCCACCAGCTGCATGTGTTTCAATGATCACAGGATCTTCTCCTTCCCAGAGGCTAGTGAAGCTTAGAAAGAAAAAAAACGCACTCGCGATGAAATGTTCTCCGAGCTCATGCTGTCCTCCCACACTGACAGAGCACAGACGAATGCGTGGAGGCAAATAATGTCAGAGTGCAGGAAAGCACAAAATGACCGGGAGGAGAGGTGGAGGGCTGAAGAGAGTAAGTGGCGGGCTGAAGAGAGTAAGTGGCGGGCTGAAGACAGGGCTGAAGCTCAAAGGTGGCGGCAGCGTGATGAGAGGAGGCAGGATTCAATGCTGAGGCTGCTGCAGGACCAAACCAGTATGCTCCAGTGTATGGTTGAGCTGCAGCAAAGGCAGCTGGAGCACAGACTGCCACTGCAGCCCCTCTGTAACCAACCGCCTCCTCCCCAAGTTCCAAGCTCCACACCCAGACGCCCAAGAACACGGTGGGGAGGCCTCCGCCAACCAGCCACTCCCCCACAGAGGATTGCCCAAAAAAAGAAGGCTGTCATTCAATAAATTTTAAAGTTGTAAACTTTTAAAGTGCTGTGCTTAAAGTGCTGTGTGGCATTTTCCTTCCCTCCTCCACCACCCCTCCTGGGATACCTTGGTAGTCATCCCCCTATTTGTGTGATGAATGAATAACGAATGCATGACTGTGAAGCAGCAATGACTTTATTGGCTCTGCAAGCAATGATTAAAGGGAGGAGGGGAGGGTGGTTAGCTTACAGGGAAGTAGAGTGAACCAAGGGGCGGGGGGTTCATCAAGGAGAAACAAACAGAACTTTTACACCGTAGCCTGGCCAGTCATGAAACTGTTTTTCAAAGCTTCTCTGATGGTACCGCGCCCTCCTGTGCTCTTCTAACCGCCCTGGTGTCTGGCTGCGCGTAACCAGCAGCCAGGCGATTTGCCTCAACCTCCCACCCCGCCATAAACGTCTCCCCTTACTCTCACAGATATTGTGGAGCACACAGCAAGCAGTAATAACAGTGGGAATATTGGTTTCGCTGAGGTCTAAGCGAGTCAATAAACTGCGCGCGCCTTTAAACGTCCAAATGCACATTCTACCACCATTCTGCACTTGCTCAGCCTGTAGTTGAACAGCTCCTGACCACTGTCCAGGCTGCCTGTGTACGGCTTCATGAGCCATGGCATTAAGGGGTAGGCTGGGTCCCCAAGGATACATATAGGCATTTCAACATCCCCAACAGTTATTTTCTGGTCTGGGAATAAAGTCCCTTCCTGCAGCTTTTGAAACAGACCAGAGTTCCTGAAGATGCGAGCATCATGCACCTTCCGGCCATCCACGTTGATGTTGGTGAAACGTCCCTTGTGATCCACCAGAGCTTGCAGCACTATTGAAAAGTACCCCTTGCGGTTTATGTACTGGGGCTTGGTGCTCCGGTGCCAAGATAGGGATAGGGTTCCGTCTATGGCCCCACCACAGTTAGGGAATCCCATTGCAGCAAAGCCATCCACTATGACCTGCACATTTCCCAGGGTCACTACCCTTGATATCAGCAGATCTTTGATTGGTGGGCTACTTGCATCACAGCAGCCCCCACAGTAGATTTGCCCACTCCAAATTGATTCCCAACTGACCGGTAGTGTCTGGCGTTGCAAGCTTCCAGAGGGCTATGCCACTGCTTCTCAACTGTGAGGGCTGCTCTCATCTTGGTATTCATGCGCTTCAGGACAGGGGAAAGCAAGTCACAAAGTTCCATGAAAGTGCCCTTACATGAAGTTTCGTA